TCTGTGGATAACCCATTTTCCCTCTAACAACTTTTTTCGAGAACTTCTACATTACACCCAATCTAATTCTGCTAGTTTAATCCCATAACATTGGAATTTCACCCTCTTCCCACTTTGTTGAAACTGGAGAACAGCTTGTGGGTGATCTCTTGATAATAATATTTTATATGTCTAAAACAGCCTTTTCTTCCAAAGTAATTAATCCACCTCCCCTTTTTTACACTTTGCTGTATGTCCCTTGCCTTTACACACCTTTGTTTCCTGATGGATCCTCGTTAAGCATTTCCCATTTTTCTGGGGAAATTATACTAGGTTGGCCAAAGAGTTCATTCAGTTTTTTCTGTAAGATGGCACTAGTAGCACTTAGTTGTCTTTAACTTCATTTGAAACAATTTTGTTAGATTGTATTGACAGCTATTATATCAGCATGCATTTAAAAAAAAAACTTACCAAAATTGGTGAATTTTAATATTGAAGATCGAAGAAAAAAGCAACATTTTAGGCATTTTATGCTTCACTGTTTAAAGAAAGGTAAAAACACAACTGAAAAGCAAAAATAAAAAATGTGCAGTGTATGCAGAAGGTGATGTGACTGATCGAACGTGTCAAAAGTGCTTTGCAAAGTTTTGTGCTGGAGATTTCTCGCTGGAGGATGCTCCACAGTCGGGTAGACAAGTTGAAGTTGATAGTGATCAAATTGAGACATTAATTGAGAACAATCAACATTATACCAATCAAACATTGAAAATCATTTGCACCATCCTGGTTACTTTAATTGCTTTGATGCTTGTGTTCCATATAAGTCAAGCAAAAAAAACTTTCTTGATGGTATCTCCACATGTGATTTTCTACTTAAATGTAATGAAAATGCTTCGTTTTTAAAACAAATTGTGACGGGCGATGAAAAGTGGATACTGTACAATAATGCAGAATGGAAGAGATCGCGGTGCGAGTGAAATGCACCACCACCAACCACACCAAAAGCTGGTCTTCATTCCAAAGAAGGTGATGTTGTGTATATGGTGGAATTGGAAGGAAATCCTCTGTTATGAGCTCTGTCTGGAAAACCAAATAATTAATTTAATTCCAACAAATACTGCTCCCAATTAGACCAACTGAAAGCAGCCCTTGATGAAAAGTGTCCGGAATTAGTCAACAGAAAACCCATAATCTTCCATCAGGATAACGCGAGACCATGTTTATTTGATGACCAGGCAAAAACTGTTACAGCTTGGCTAGGAAGTTCTGATTCATCCACCGTATTCACCAGACATTGCAGCTTCGGATTTCCATTTATTTCGGTCTTTAAAAAATTCTCTTCCAGGGAAATTTCAATTCCCTGGAAGACTGTAAAAGGCACCTGGAAGAGTTCTTTGCTCAAAAAGGTAAAAAGTTTTGGGAAGGTGGTATTATGAAATTGCCTGAAAAATGGCAGAAGGTAGTGGAACAAAAGGGTGAATATTGTGTTCAACAAAGTTCTTGGTAAAAATGAAAAATGTGTCTTTTATTTTTACTTAAAAACCGAAGACATTTTTTGGCCAACCTATACCTTTGCAGAATTGACCGATACTAAACATAGCATGTGACAGTCACTTTATGCATTCTTTCTGTACTCAGTGTTGTGTAATTCTATTTCCTGAGAGATTTCTCAGGGTGTAACCAGCACACTCCTGTTGTATTCTTCTGCAGTAGCTTAAAGAGAAACCATTTGATTTTTTCTAAATTCAGATTTAATTTAGAGAGATTTATTTAGAAGAAAACTTTCAGCTTACAACTTTCCTGTTGACTTTTTATTTAACTTCAAATTTGGCAGGTTGCTGAACTTGTGTGATATTAAGACATAGTAAAATTTAATAACCTAAAATCACTTGCCTTCTGTTATTTTCCTTTAAGAATACAGAAAAAAATATCCATTCATATATTTTTAAATTATCTGTGCAACTATGACTGCATTAATTTACATCCTTTAAGTTACAAGAACTGAATGCCTTTAGGGACAGATTATATACAGAGGTAAATGTACTTTTCAAAAGGAGTAAAAAAAACAAACAAACATTTTGTGAGCAATGGAAGTATATTTTGACATGTGAAAATAAAGGCTATTATTTATTATCTGTTAATAAAGTGTTGATTGGATTAAGTAGACACAGTATTCTCTGAGTTCATTTATTCCTTCAACAAATATTTCCTGAGTGCTCTGTGCCAAGCACTGTGGTAGGCAATAGGAACATACAAGTAAAGAATGCAGTCATGACTCCTGCCCTCATGGAGCTTAAAACTTAACAATGGTGACTTGCTCGTTATTCTGTTTGCCTCCCTTGCCTGTCACGCTCCTCTTCCCCCAGACTCTCTGTCTTCTTTTCTGTACTGCCAACTGCATTCTCTGGGCTTGCAAACTGGCTTCTGGTTGCCTTTAGCCATGAGAACCACCAGAGGCGATCAGAAGGCATGGGGAAAAAGTCAGGATATGAATTTCAATTTATGCCTTTACTAAACTCTTTTGAGCCATCGGAGTCTTTCCAACTGGATTCCTGACTGATACAGTGAATATATAAAATATATATATTTTTAATTTTATGTAGAGAAACACATATGTAAATATTTTAGAACTGTCTTAAGGGCTATGAAGAAACAAATACAAGTATTGAGATACAGTGTAATGGGTGTGAATTAAACAAAGTATTACAGATGAACTCTTAGAGGGTGATATTTAAGTTGAGGCCAGAGAATAAGTGGGAGCCAGCATAGAAAGAATGGGAAAGATGGTCCTGATGGAGGAAACAGCAAGTGCAAGGCCCATAAGATAGAAAAGAGCTTGACGTGCTCTGTGCCAGAATTTGGTTATGATATTCTATGAGGAACATTCGGTTAAACCATTCCATGTGGACAGACTGAGGGGACAAATCAGCTTGAGTGGCAAGGTGTGGATCAATATCTAGTGACAGATACTGAAGATTATGGACAGACAAATGTCTGCCAGAGAACCATGTACTTGTTAAAGTGGAAAGCAGCTCAGGTGAGCTGTGGGAATGAAGCAGATGCTCAGGTATTTATTTGAAATTGTGATCATGTTGGGATGCAATGATGATCTACTCCACATGATAAAGTGCTGTAAAGAAATTAACACATATAAAGATGTTATTTCTTTGATCTTATTTACTTTCATCAGAGTGGTAAGTTAGCCTTTAGGTACAGATAAATCTCTTCGTAACATGATTTTTTTTTCATAATTGTGACACTTCACATAAAGAATATCAAATGGGCAGCAGAGACCTTCTTGAGAGGCTGTGTGTTTTGTTCATCTTCCTATTTATTTATTTATTTTCATGAGGGGAGAGGGAGTAGCAAAGAAGGAGTGGAGAAGTTGAAAAAAATAAAGTATTAAAAGAACTTAATTTGACAGTTGGATCCTACCTAGAATGAAAGGGACTTTAAGGATCAATTTAGTAAGCATATTTCAAGACTTACAAAAGCAAACACATCAAACTTATTAAATAAGCCCGCCTGGGGAAATTTTGCATATTGTTTTTTCTCCATGAATCTAGTTCTCTAATTTGTTTTATAGTATGCCCTCCTTTTCTTTGCGACTTTAGTGCAAATTCCGGCATTTAAGAATTATTTAACTGTAGGATATACTAAAACCTTTGACATCAAGCCAAATAATTATTTTTGCATTTTTCAGAATTGATCAGTTCACTTGGGACTTTTCAGGCATACTTGGTACCACAACATGGGCAAATGGTGAAAAACATTTCTTTTAAGATATTATTTAATCTCGTGCATTTATCTAATATATATGAGTCTGGAAATCTTCCTCAGATATCTGCCAAATAACTCCTGGATGAATTTTAAATTATTGAAATATGTTTCTACTTGTAGGCATCTTTTGTTGGACCACTCAACACTTTTAATAGACCAGACAACAATTTATTTTGTTTTTAGTTTATTATGATCTTGCTCCTACTCAGATTTAAACAGAATTGCACATATATTATTTCAATCAGTCCTAATATTAGAAAACATGATGATTACTATTGTCATGCCCTAAACCTCCTCTTACTAGCTGAATTTTTCATATTTATTAATATTTTTCTCACCCATAGACTACACCTACTTCAAACACATTTATAGAGCATGTTTTATCTCCAAGTACTTTATAGTTATGCTGTGGGAGTTAGCTCACCATGACTGAGGTTGAATGATTAGTAACTCTGATAGAGATGCATTTATGCAAATTATAATTACAGAGTCTAGAAAGGACTCTGAGGTCTTATCACCCTAAAAAAACCCCAAAACTACAACACTCTATTTAAAATAAATCATAATACTCTAATCAAATATAATCAAAATCTCACTCCTGTTCCTATGCCCAATATTTATACTGTAAACATCATTGACAAGTGATTATATATTGTGAGATTTAAAACCTCAGAAGTAGAATCATTAATCACAGCAGGCATTAGAGTTTGATGTAAATCATCTTTCTGATTTAGGGAATGATTGCATGTTATACATATTGACAGCTGGTGCTATCATGTTATCATTATTTCAGGAGAGACTGAAGTAATCAATTGCATCAGTGTAATTATTTAAGATTTTTATACTCTTGTCTTATTATATCTTGTCAGGGATAGCACCTTATCCCCTTTTTATTTCATTTCATTTTATTTCATCATTGCTGAAGGAAATTTAAGAATGATACTGAAATTTTAAGACAAGTAAGCAAAGAGATGTAAAGCTCTTCTTTTATTTAAAGACTTTTCCTTTATGTTAAAATAGCAAAACTATACACATTATTGTTCATAGAAATAACCAGAAAGATGATAATTTGTTACTTCATCAATTCCCATTTGCCCTTCTTTTAAAAAATGAATAACCACCAAGGAGCTTCAAGGTTTCATTCAAGGAAAATAAAACCTAGCAAAATAAGTGATCCAAAAATAAGATATGTCACATCTTAATAAACAATTGTGTCTAATTTTAGAAGGATATGTACTTACTTGCCAAGTGCAAAGCATTCCATCTTAACAGTTGTTCCCTTAGCAGCTGTAACTGTGAAAGGGAAATGGACCTCAATTTTCGGCTCATATTCTCCCATCACACCTGGGAAATAAAGAATAGTCTTTAAACATTAAATGAATGTCACAATTTCTCTCCAGTCCTGTAGATTGGAAAGCACTGTGTTGTCCATATCTGTATGAAGACTGCTAAACTTTCGATGTACTGAAATAAGAAGTACTCATAGACTGAATCATTATGATGAAATCTTAATCTTCCCTTAAGGATTGGATTGCATGTATATTCAATACCATTTAAAGTAATAATTATTGAAACTACTAATCAACATTGGTAGTTTAGCTACTGATTATATTTCAGAGGAAATAAATAACTATGAACAAATCCTATGGTAAATAATGGTGTTGATTTTTTTTTTTAATAAGTAAATGTCTCAGAACTTTCTTCATCATTTTCAGATAAATCAATGTTTATTTGTTAAGTCAACATATATTTATTGAATATCTATAATATGCATGCAGTTTGCTAGGCATTGTGGGAGTTATAAAGATAAATCAGCCATGGATTGTGCCCTCAAACACTCAACAAGTGTATTCTTAAAGAAACAGCATATACTCAAGGATGGGAGAAGAGCTATATATCAAAATCACTGTAATGTAAGATAGGAAGGGATGAGTGCTCTGCCCTGAATGAGTATCCCTAAAGTATTATGTGCATTTGAGGGAATTATAAGAATAGTTAGAATTTGTATAGGTGAGAGAAAGGAGAAAGTAAATGGAACTGCAGGAACAAAGACAAAGAGATAGGAAACCACCAGAAATAGGAATATTAGTTTTTCTGGCTTCTTGGTATGTGAAGGGAAATCATACTAGGAAAATTTGGAAATATAAATGGACTCCAAAAAATAGAGGACCTTGGGCTTCCCTGGTGGCGCAGTGGTTGAGAGTCCGCTTGCCAATTCAGGGGACACGGGTTCGTGCCCCGGTCTGGGAAGATCCCACATGCCATGGAGCGGCTAGGCTCTTGGGCCATGGCCGCTGAGCCTGCGCATCCGGAGCCTGTGCTCCGCAACGGGAGAGGCCACAACAGTGAGAGGCCTGCGTACAGCAAAAAAAAAAAAAAAGGACATTGATTATCAGAGCAAGACATTCAAATTTTAATCTGTAAGTAATTTGGAGCATTTGGAATTTCGAATAGGAAACTGACATTTTGTTGAGATGTATATACTGGAATTGGAGCAGAGACCAGTAAATCAATTATATTATTTCAATAATGCAAGTTAGAAATAATGAAAACTTAGACTTGAATTATACATCAAAAAAAGAGAAGAGACATTAGAATGAGAAAAAAAACAAGAAAGACTTGAACTTTGCACATAATAGGGGTACTGGAGATAAGGTTGTGGGCCTCATCAATAACAACAGTAAGATTTCCAGCTTGGGAGAGGGGTGGGTGATGTAAGTGAAAGAAAAGTGTGCAGCTATGGTGGGAAACTTGATAATTTCTATTTTGGGAGTATTGTCTTTGATACCTATAAGATATTTAGAATGCAGTGAGAGGATGAACCTGGAGATGAGTTCTGAACAGGTGATATATGCTTAATATCATCACTCACAGGTGGCAGTTAAAGCCATGAGATTGCAGAGGGCTTTCACCTATCAGAAAAACAATACACTATAACTGAGTCATTTGGCTGTATGGCAGAAATTAGCAGAACATTGTAAATCAACTATACTTCAACTTAAAAAAATCATACACTAGTGATGCCTGGTGAATTCCAGTGCTTGTGTCCTCAGGCAGCCCTGGAGCTAATTTCCCCCAGAAAATAATTTTTAGCAGATCCCTATGTGTAAAGTACCACAGAGGACACAATTGTGATTGAGCACAGATGCTTCTCTGAGGACCTTGTGTGTGTGTTTTGGGGGATGTCTCTGTATAGGGGTATATGTGCACATAGAGATCTGCGTATGTGTATAGCTCTATGTGTAATTCCTTGGTGTGTGTGTATGGTATCAGGAGGGAGAGAGGAGGAAGAAACCCAGACAGAGGAAGAAGTAAATGTCATAAGATATGAAGGCAAGATGCACTGGGCATGCAAAGGGAGAAATGGTTACCTTTGGCAAAGAAAACCCTTATGTGTTCATTTATTATTATTATTTTTATTTTAAATTTTGATTTGAGATGGTCTTTGAAGGAATAAAGAATGTAGACAACTTTAGATGGAAAATGTTTAAGTTCACTGAGGACAAGAATATTATCTTTGCTTTGTTGTTGTTGTTTTCTTTCCCTAGTTTTTTTGCAAAGCAATCATAAAGAAAATATTACTGATGTTTTCATCAGAGATTGGGCTTGTGTACACTGGCTCTGCTCATGACTAGCCTACAGCACCTCTGACAGGTCAGTGACCTCTGTGTCTCATTTTCTAATCTGAAAACTGAGGAAATAGAAGAAAACTACCATTAATGTAATACCCTGCTCTGTCAGGCTAACTCCCTTGATTCCTTCCAAGCCTAATGTTCGCTGAGCACCAAGTTCCTGATACACAGCAAGTGAATTGAGAGGTTAGTACTACAGTAATACTCAAAACAGATGTTTAAGCACTTCTCTATCTCTTTCTCAATATTGTTTTTCTCTTCTACTTCTTTTTTCCTATATCCTTCTGCCCCACCCATATATTTTCCAACTTCCTTTCTCTTTTTTATATATATATTTTTCCTGTATATCTCCTGAATGACAGTATTTGTCCTGCTAGTGTTGCCTGGCTGAGTGTATCCAATGATGACGAGTTTATCTTTAATGCTGTCTTACTTGGAAGCCCTCATATAAGGACTTCTAGGCATCCTGTTCAGTGGCTACCTTGACTGCCCACCTGAAGCAGTCCCTGAAGTCAGCTTCTGATCGCCTCATCCACTCTTAACATTGATTCTGTAGTATTCGTGTTCCTGTCTGCCTGTTAACCTGATGATTTAATAATACATGATTTATTGTGATGCTTATTAAGCTTAAGCTTATTAAACTCAATGCCTTACTTGCATAGGTCCCTGTGAGTGCTGGCAGTTGTTGAGTTCTGTAGAATGTTGTAGAAAGGCAGTGAAAGTCAGGCTGAATTTAGAAAATATTTCTATATAATTATTTCTAGTAAATTGTTTAAAGATATCTCAGAAGAAAAGAACCAGAATCTTCAAACTCCAGTCATTTTTTTTTGATTATTTTTTTCCTAACCTAACTAAAAATTCCCTTTAGAATCCACTTTTATATTAATACTTTTGTATTCTTTATATTAAAGAAAGTCCAATAATTGTACAAAATTTTAAGCCCTTCAAAACCTGGATCTGCCTCAAAAGAATACCAAGATATTACTGATATTAGGGGCCAATAGGAGTCAGACCCATGTCTTCTCTCAAATTCCCTTCCAGATAACATTTGTGAATTGCAAAGAAGACATTCTTTTATAGCTTTAATTCTTAAGGATGATTCAAAGGAAAGGCATTCCTGGTAGGGTTTTGGGAAGTAATTTTTGCCCATGTAGTGGCTTCTGGTGCTACTTAAATGATTCCTTTATATCCAAAGACACTGTTAAGCCTCATTCCAGGGCCAAAGAGGTTTGCTAATATCTGAACTGGATACTAAAAATAAAATTAAAAGGTTTAAGTACAAGGCTTCAAATTATATTACCTAATTTGAACTACACTGTAAGTAATAACTAGTTCTTTTAAATTTTACTCTCATAGTGGTGATATAAGGACAGATTAGAAAGCTCCTTAGGTATGTCTTGTTCTTTAAACACATGATTACATTCAGGGATTAAGTTTTGCTTTGTCTTTCATGGGATAATTATGTTACAGCTAAAGTTCAGTTTAGCTTAGAGAGGGCAGGCAGCAAGCAGAAGAACTACAATCCTGCAGCCTGTGGAACAAAAACCACATTCACAGAAAGATAGACAACATGAAAAGGAAGAGGACTGTGTATCAGATGAAGGAACAAGATAAAACCACAGAAAAACAACTAAATGAAGTGGAGAGAGGCAACCATCCAGAAAAATAGTTCAGAATAATGACAGTCAATATGATCCAGGACCTCAGAAAAAGAATGGAGGCAAAGATTGGGAAGATGCAATAAATATTTAACAAAGACCTAGAAGAATTAAAGAACAAACACCTAGAAGAATTAAAGAAGAAACAAACAGAGAAGAACAATACAATAACTGAAATGAAAAATACACTAGAAGGAATCTTTAGCAGAATAATTGAGGCAGAAAAATGGATAAGTGACCTGGAAGACAGAATGGTGGAATTCAATGCTGTAGAACAGAATAAAGAAGGAAAAGAAATGAAGACAGCCTAAGAGACCTCTGGGACAACATTAAATGCACCAACATTCACATTATAGGGGTCCCAGAAGGAGAAGAGAAGAGAAAGGACCTGAGATAATATTTGAAGAGATTATAGATAAAAATTTCCCTAACATGTGAGGGGAAATAGCCACCCAAGTCCAGGAAACTCAGAGAGTCCAAGACAGGATAAACCCAAAAAGAAACATGCTGAGACACATAGTAATCAAATTGACAAAAATTAAAGGCAAAGAAAAATTATTAAAATCATCAAGGGAAAACCAACAAATAATATACAAGGGAAATCTCATAAGGTTAACAGCTGATTTCTCAGCAGAAACTCTACAAGCCAGAAGGGAGTGGCACAATATATTTAAAGTGATGAAAGAGAATAACCTACAACCAAGATTACTCTACCCAGCAAGGATCTCATTCAGATTTGATGGAGAAATCAAAAGCTTTACAGACAAGCAAAAGCTAGGGAATTCAGCACCATCAAGCCAGCTCTAAAACAAATGCTAAAGGAACTTCTCTAAGTGGGAAACACAAGGGAAGAAAAGGACCTACAAAAACAAACCTAAAACAATTCAGAAAATGGTCATAGGAACATACATATCAATAATTACCTTAAACATGAATGGATTAAATACTCCAACCAAAAGACACAGGCTTGCTGAATGGATACAAAAACAAGACCCATGTATATGTTGTCTACAAGAGACCCACTTCAGACCTAGGGAAACATACAGACTGAAAG